GGATTCAAACTGGACGATTGAAGCAGATTACTCAAAACTTTCTGTTCATCGAGGACGAAGGCGTGCAAATCGAATTCATAATGAGATGGACATTCGTCATCCTGATGAACCTCGTAGATGTACACTATGCCACCAGCCAGGTCATAATAGAAGAAATTGTTCAAATTCTCAACCAAGATTCAATGAGTAGTAAACTATGTTTTTGTTTTATTGTGTTGTAAATTCATGTTTCATTGATCTTGTATTTCCTGTGTGATTTTGTATTATGATTTTTAAATTTTAGTAATGTAATCTTAGTTATGTGTTTTCTTATTTCTTATTGTTATAATATTAAATATTAGTATTAATGGAAATGTATAAATGAGATATATTTGGTATTGAAAACTAATAAGCATTAGTTATAAATTGAATAATATACTTACATTAAATATTATTAAATTAAGTAAATGTATAAAATACAAATAAAAAATAAAATAAGATGTAGTGGTAACATATTTCATAAAATAAGGGTCAATGTTGAATATTTTTATGGATTATTTTGTATATTTAATATTTACGTAAATATAATAAGTAAATATAATAAGATGTAGTAAAAATGTAGAAAAAAATACATAAAAGGATAAAGTTTGAACATATTATAAAAAACTAAGGACTATTGTTGTAAGCTGTGAGGATCAATATATATATTTACGTATTCATTTAGTGGGCCAGGAGCCCCATTTCTACAAAGGCATTCAAAACAGCCCCATTTCTACTAATCTTTTTGAAAACTGCCCCATTTTTGCAAATAACTCCATTAAATCCCAAATATGTGTCTAATGGGCTTAGTGAACCTTAATGGATCTAAGGACCTAGCTACTAGGCCTAATGGGCTAATGTGGGTTGGAAATCGTAATTAGGGTTTGAAAAACCCTAATAAAATAAAACTCTAATTTGGGACTTATCAGGTCCGCAACGGAATTATTTAATGAACTTAAATTATTAATTCGCAATCATTGCAAACTAACCTAAGGCCATATGGGACTTAATGGATTAAGTTCTTAATGGGTTAAGTAAGAAAACTTAACCCTAATTGTCATTTATGTGAAACCCTAATTTCACTTGGGTTTTGTGTTGGGCTTTTCCTTTGGGCTTTTGTAATTGGATTATTAATGGGTCATCCAAGAATAATCATATGGACTAGAATATGTTTATGGGCTTAGGGTAAGGCCGATATGAGGGTGTGGGCCCAATTTGGAAAATTAGGTCATGGACAGGCCAGAGTTTGGGCCTTGATGATTATATGATGTTAGGCCTTAGAATAAGACCATGTAGAGGCTTAGGCCCAATTTGGAAAATTGGGTCATATGTTGGGCTTTGACTCATAGTTGACTTTTAGGCCTTTAGATTGGGCCTTGGGCTTGAATCAAGCTAAGTTGGGGTTAAAGTAGTATTTACCCCACGCATGGACTTATAGTTATGTATTGGAACCCAATTATTAATTGGGTGTTATTTTGATGTTGATAGTTCGGGAACTTGTCATCCAACAGCTGCGCTTGGATCTGCAGGACTTCATCAATGGCAGGTGAGTCTTCTCACCATACCCATGGGTCTAAGGCACCAAGGCCGACCCATTATGTGATTATGATATACGGGTTAGCCATTATGTGTTTTGATATGATATGTGATTGTGTGGTTTGCATGAAGACCCCGAGGGGAGCCCGTGTCATTGGATGTAAGACCATGTGGGGTAGCCCATGGTAGTCCGAGGTAAAGACCATGTGGAGTAGACAATGACATTGGATGTAAGACCATGTGGGGGAGCCCATGGCAGACATAGGTAAAGACCATGTGGAGTAGCCCATGACACTATTACAGGTTTTATGTATGCATGGCTTATGTGATATGTGTGTAGCTTTTATAGCTAACATGATATGTGATATGTTGATTGTGTTTATCGTACGCTCTGCGAAACTCACTAAGCTTCATGCTTACAGGTTTTGTTTATGGTTTCAGGTACTTCATTTTCAAAGGAAAGTAGTCAGCTCGATCCAGTGCATCACACTATGTTTTCCGCACAGGAGATCTTTGGGATTACACTCTGATATTATTTTATGATGACATGCTTGATTATTGACACACTAGTTTTGACATGAGATATTATTATGACTGTTTTATACTTATGGTTTTATGTAATAACTTAATTAAAACGAAAATTTTAGCCCTGATTTTTGGGTCGTTACAATAATGATATGTGTGAAATTTATATGGGACTAGGAATGAAAATCACTGTACAAATACTAGAAAAATGAAGAATGTTTATCAAAACAAATCAAAAGTGGGAAGAGAAGGTCTTCTGGAGCTTGATTTAAAAGGGAATATGCTTGAGAGCAAATATGGAGTGAATGATTTCATTTACTTAATATGTGAAAAGAGGAATGATCTCAAATGTAACTTATATATGAAGAAAACTCATGAGGCGGTTGCATTGGTAAATGGTAAATGAATCTTATCACCTTGGTATGCTGAATTTGGATAAAATATGAGATATTTAAGGGTGTTTTCGGATGAATTACATATATAAAGAGGGTTTTCAGACTTAATATCACCTAGGAGATGAGTTTTCATTCCTAAAGTCAAAAAGAAAGGAGTTTTTAAATTTAAGGTCAAGGGGAAAAGGGTTTTCGGATCTACCCTCCTAAAAGCAAGTGTTTTCGGATCAAGGCAAACCGAAATCACCATTTTGAACCAATTCGAAAACCATAAACCCTATTTCCTTTTAATTATTATCGGTGAAAACACATATATGAGGTTTATTAATGGTTTAAACCCTTAGCCTTTCTACTTATGTTCATTTATAACACCTTAATTTAGCTTAGGTTTCAATCAATACTTCTTTGTTAGCTCTATTCACAAGCTATAAATGATACAATTCAACAAGGATTGCAATGTGTTAAGTTAAGGTTTAGGCTTCACTGGGTCTAAAATTTCGAGTTGTGACAGTTTCAGCTTATTGTTACAAGTATTTCGGATGATCGCGGAAAAGCACACGCGTGATCGTGCACATCTTCCTATTCTTTGTTATTGGATCTTCGAAAAACTCTGATTTTGAATAATACTTTTGAAACAATGACTCTTTTTGTAAACAAGGTTGCTTAATGTTTGATTTTAAATTTTAAAATTTCTATGATTTTTTTGGAGTGTTACACCACGAATGGCATCACTTGATGTATCCCAAAAAATCGTCACAAGGCTGATCGATTCGAGATCTCAGATGTGTGCTTCGGTGCCGCTAGCGAACCTCGATTTGTTTCATGTTACATTCATATACGATGATCGTTAGAGTCGCCTCAAGACTTGCGTTCCGGGAGCGGCCTCCGACGATCAAGTTAGTATCGATATGAAATGGGGGTCACGTCTTCGAGTGGAAGGAACCCGATCGTATGTAGAGAGAGAGAGAGAGAGAGAGAGAAAGAGAGTTAGAACTTACTTTGGGATGTGGGTTGAGAGGTGTATATATATATATATATATATATATATATATATATATATATATATATTATATATATATAATGTTGGGAGTATCTTTTTATCTTGGAGAATAAGTTTACAGCTTTGCTTGAAGAAGGTAAGTGTATGAGTTGTACCTGAGGTGATGGGTGTACCTTTTTGTCTTGGGAATGAGTAAACATGAAATGATTGAACCAGAATTACCGTTGAGATATGTATATCAACACTAGGGGTGTTAATTTATGATACGACACGATAAAAATACACGAAACGAAACGAAATCGGCACGAAATCAAAATTCGAATTCGTGTTCGTGTCGTGTTCGTGTCAAGATTAAAAAACACGATGTCGTGTCGTGTCGTGTTCGTGTTCATAAATCGACACAAAATTGACACGATTAAGCATATGATTATCGTGTTTTTCGTGTTTGTCGTGTTATATATCTTTAAGTATGAATGAAATACACTAATAGTTATGTAATATTATCTTTGTCGTGTCGTGTCGTGTTGTCGTGTTTTAATTGGTTCGTTTTTGTGTTAATGAAAAAAAACACGACATCGTGTCATGTCGTGTTCGTGTCATCCAAAATCTTGTAGTGTCGTGTTGTGTCAAACAAAAACACGACACGACTGCCCGATTTAACAGCCCTAATCAACACTCATCAACCCAATCAATTATGGGTTCATTTTATTAGTATAAATAGACACTCATGTTATTGTCATTGATATAAGTTTCTTTAAGAAAATGTATGTAATCAACATTATTGTCCAATCTTTTTATAACATCAGACAAGCCTTACAACTATATTTGGTTAAATGTTCTAAGCTAAAAACCACATCCATAACAGATGTTTTACGAGGCTCAAAATATACAACTGGTTTAAGAACAAAAATAGCTTTGTAATGAACATCCATGATCACTAAGTTACTTGGAGATGAATTCGAGCCCATAATCTTTCAACTTTTTAATTACTCTTCATGATTACAACGATCGATTGTATTAGAAATTAAGATTGTATTTGGTATGTCACAACTAACAAGATAAGCTAACTTATTTTTCAAAAATTTTGAAGTTGTAATGTTTGAAAAACCAAAATAATAACTTATAAGTTAGTTTTTTAGAAATTACTTAAACTGTCTTTTTATAAGTTATTATTATTATTATTATTATTATTATTATTATTATTTTCAAATATACATTTAATTAATCTTAGAAAACATATTCCTCTAAATGTCATTTTATATCTTCTACCTAACTTTCAAGTAACTTTTCAATTAATACGTCAAACATAACCTTAAATTGGATGTGAGTAAACCCTAATTGACCGTTACACATTGGAGGTTTGGGTGCAATTCACTTGTCATCCTAGAATAAGACAAGTAATATTTGTATAGTTGAAACAGATAATACGAATTATTGCGAATCATAAAGTTATTTTTCAATCAAATATAAAAACGCAACGGTCGATGGTATTAAAAAAATGAATAAATATAAACAAAAATAATAATTTGCTAACCTATGTCCCTTAAAAAATCTCAAATAATCACATATCCTCGGAGGCAACCGGATTTTGACTATGAATAGTCAAACCTCAAGCAGCAATTTTGTCAACGAATATGAGGTATCAAGAAACAAATCCCCAATAAAATAATATTGACATTACCAACCAATAACAACCCCCATCTTCATCTCTCACATACATTTTTAAATATTACAATTATTTTCACAACTAATTTCTTTAAAAAAAAAAAGTTAAAAATTAATCTTACATTGCAATTACAGACGACCCTATCTGTTGTGCTACCACAGGAGACGCCGACACCTCCGTCGCCGGAGTAGACACCTCCGACACATCCATATTTGTCGGCCTCCGAATATTCTCCACCAATTTCACGACCTCCGCCATCTTGGGCCGCTGTTCCGGCAACCTTGCCACACATTGCATCCCAATCTGCAACATCTCCACAAGCTCCTCCTCTATATTCGGGTACCTCAAAAGCCCCACATCAAAAACCTCAGCCGTCCATTCCTCCCGGACCACCGAGTTCACCCATCTCACCAAATGCACAACCTCCTCGCCGCCGGTGGCATGAGTAGGTGATTTTCCGGTGAGGAGTTCCAACAGGACGACTCCGAAAGAGTAAACATCTGATGCTTGGTAGACTTTCCGGGTGTCGGATACTTCCGGTGCCCGGTAACCGCCGATACGCATCACCGGCGGCGCTAGCGGTGTCATTACTGCCGCCAGGCCAAGATCACTTACGCAACCGTATCCCTGTGGGTTTAGGAAGATGTTGGAGGCTCTGATGTTTCCATGGACAAGCTTTGTGTTTGTTTGGGTGTGGATATATGCGATCCCTCTCGCTGCTCCGATGGCTATCCGCAACCGGCGATCCCAATCTAGTGGACTCCGGTGATCCTCGCCACTTTTTGCTGCAAATTTATAAACGGATTAATGTAAACAAAAAATATAACATGAAACTCCTCGAATAACAAAAAAACAAGCCAGATTATAAGCGTACCATGCAACATTGACGAAACACTCCCTTGATCGTAATAATCATACACCATCAACTTTTCGTCTTTGGAATAATAATAAGCTCTCAAAGGAACAACATTCTCATGTCGAATATTCCCAACAACCTCCATTTGGACCTCAAAATCTCGCTTCGCCGCTGCAACTTCCTTCAACCGCTTCACAACCACCGTGTTTGCATCCTCCAACGCCGCTTTATAAGTCGTACCGAATGTTCCCTTACCAAGCACCTCAGCCGAAGCTCTAAACAGATCCTCAAGGTCAAACGCCAGGCTACTGCCTTCGAAGAACACAAGATTTCCATTTCCGTTTACATTTTGGCTGCCGGAACGCAGTTTCGTTACCTTTTCTTCTTTCTCCGGTCTCCCGGAAACCTCCTTTTTATTAGAATACCGGAGTATCATTATCAATGCTAGGAGTACAAACGCTAAAGCGCAACCACCGATCGCGATTCCGAGAATTGCAGGTTCGCCGATTTTTGAAGATTTTTTGGATGACGGTTGGGCGGCCGGAGAAAGAACCGGTGGCGGTGAATTCAAAGGAGAAAGGTCATTTCCGGCAAAAGACGAGCTGGGGAATCGTTCGAGAGACTGAGGAACAGGCCCGGTGAGATTATTGTTCGACAAATCGAGAGCTTGCAAACTTGGGATGCTAAGATTAGGGATTTCGCCGGAAAAGGAGTTGTTAGCAAGGTTTAAAGCAGTGAGGTGGCTTAAATTCGAGATGGAAGGTGATATGCTTCCGTTGAAACCATTGTTCGAGAGATCAAGTATCGAAAGATTGTTCCAATTTGAGAAATTTACAGGCAATGGGCCGTAGAGTCCGTTTGATTGAAGATAGAGAGCTGTTAGGTTCGTGAGGTTGGAGAAATCGGGCGGGAGAGGACCCGTTAACCCGTTTGATCTCAAACTCAAGATCTGAAGATCCGACAATTGGCTTAGAGTATTCGGAGGAATAGGACCATGAAGACTAAACGCCGGCAAACGAACGGCGATGATTCTTGACTCATCATGATTACATGTTATCCCGGTCCAGTTAACACAAGCTGAAGAACCCATTTCCCAATTGATTTCGCGACTATGCGAAATGCTTTGTATGAAATTAAGTAAAACTTGCTTATCTTCCAAAGGCTCTCCGGTGACCATGGATACAGTTGCTCCGAACAAGAAAATTGCAGACAACGTAATCATGTTCTTGTTCTTGACTGTCATCTTCTGCGTTGATGATATATAGTTACAAACTCCAAAAGCTATAGAACAACGTTTCTGCTCATCTGAATAAGAAGATGGTGAGAATTAAAGGATATACATATAGTAGTATGTTATGTAAGTAATGATTTTCATAAATAACCACCATTATCATTATCAGACCAACGTTGAATATAAGGCTTAAATTCTAATTGAATCGAGTACAGCTAACTTGTATCAGAGCGAACGTTATAGTCAAACAAGAAACGTAAATGAATTCAGTTTGTGTTGGTGAGTTTCTTTGATTTTTGTTCATCTTCTTCCGTACTTTACTGACTTCTGATGAGATGAGTTAAAAACAGGGTAACAAAATATATAATTAGTAAAAAAATACAAACTACTTTTATTAGTTTTTGCTTATTATAGGATCTTATATTCAAATTCTTTTCTATTTATAATATTATACTTCAAATATTTTACATTGTATTTTAAAAACTATGGATCATGGCTTTGTCCTTCCAATTTCTTTTTATTTGGATATTGCATTTTGAACAATTTACTCAATTAGAACAATGAAATTGTGACATTGTTATAACTGATTAAAATTTCCAAAATAGAATATTATAATAAGAAAAATTGTCAACTCGAAGTAATCAGTCTCAAATCCCCAACTCAAATAAAGTTTGACTCATTCAAGTTAAAATGGAGTTGGAGCTTGTATTACGCTTGACTGGTTTCTACTCGATTGTTACTGGCTTATACTATAAGCAAATACAATATTACAAAATCACGAAGCAAATATACAACGATGAAATAGAAACAAGAAACTGAAAAGTGATTGGACTCCGGTTCTCAGATCTCAGTGAAGATCAGATAAAACCATCGCAGTGATTCATGAATTTCGTTAGAACCCAACAAGCAAACAGTTACATCACTCGATCAACACAGAAATAGAAAAAAACGACGACGAATTTGTAATCGAGAAGGGAGGAATCCTTACCAAATTACATACAAACAAACACAACATCACAAAATAACGGTGAAAATATTAAACACAATGAAGCAGACAACGAAAGTTAATTGAACTCACTTTTTCAGATCTCTGTGACAATTAGGTAAACCCATTGAACCCTTTGTCAGAATGTACAAGCAATGAGCTAAACAACTCGACCAACACATAGAAACACATGTACTGAAGGAGATTAATGAATCTAATAGGCGGAGAGAGAGATTTTGGAGGTTGGGAGCAGAAATTAATGGAGGTAGGGTGGAAACAATAAATGGAGGAAAGAGGGAAGGAGCTGGGGTATGGAGAAATCAATGAGATTGGAGAGATGAGCGGAAGATGCACGTGGTGATAAATGGAACGTAGAGGAAGAACTCCAGCGTAATAATTAATCAATTTAAACACCTAAGATATGTAATGATTTGGAGGGAGAGGGAATTTAGTACAGGTTGTATTGACTATTGATGGCTAGGCTGTAGCTGGAGGAGAGAAAAAGTGTTCCGCCATTTCCGCGGGTGGAGAACGGAGGAGTTAAGCACCGACGAACACCACAACCGCGGAGCTCATAACCCTCAGTCTCTCGTGAATTTGATTGATTGTGCTATCCCTGCCTCCCCTTATAAAAACCTGGATTTTTACAAAAAGAACTATTATATGAAAAATGTGATAATCGGTGAAACGGGCCAAAAATTTATAAAAATTCATGTGGTTTTCTCCGGCTTAACTGCCGAAAAAGTAACCAAAGTTTTTTTTTTGAATAACCATTATATTAAATTTACATTTTATAAAAACATTATAAATTTAGATGTTTTTCGAATTAGCAGAAAAAGAAATAATTTAATCTTTGAATTAAAAAAAAAATCATTACCCTAAAAACTAAACTTCCATTTGTTTTTTGCAACTCATTAATGAAGAAAAACTTAATACGGTTTATTTGAAAAAAAAAAAAAGCTTTAGTGGTTAAATGAAAAAAAAAAAATCCAAATTGGTTGTCATATTTACATATTTAATTATTACATGTGACAAAAGACAACGAGCGTCTTCATATTACTCGAGTTGAAGAAGTAAAAAATTTAGACAAAAATTGTGAGTTTAGCACATAAGTTTTTATCTGATAAAAGAGTGTCAATAGTAGTAGTAGTTTTGTTTATTTAACTAATGAAAAGCCTAATATTGGGGTAAAATATGTTGGTTATTGTTTGAGTCAGAGAAGGGATGTCAACGGGGGCAAACAGAGCGGGGATTGCGTCCCCCGCCCCTATCCCCGAATTTTTCATGTTCCCCCGCCCCCGAAATCTCTAGCCTCCCCATCCCCACCCCCTCCCCGAATCCCAGAATTACGCCCGCCCCCGCCCCTGTTTTCCCACCCCCGTTTGGGTTGATTTTTTTTGGGCGAACGAAGGTGTTGTTTAGGCTAAAATAAGTTATTTTTTGAGCTAAAAGAAACCATTTTTGATAAAAATAGTTATTTATCGCATAAGTTTATATATTTAAAATAAAAATATTATAACATCTTAAAAACGTTATATTATAAACTTAAAAACATTATATTTAATTGAATTTTGGAAGTTCAAAATCATTGTTATTATTTATTATATTTTTATAATTAATATATATATATTAATATAAATAATATATTAACGGGGTCCACATTGGGGGTTCGGGACGGGACTACCCACCTCCACCCCCGCCCCTGAAACTAAAACGGGGGTTAACATTGCCCCCGCCCCCACCCCCGTCCCCGATTTTTTAAACAAATATTCCTCATTCGGGATCAGGATCCCACGGGTTCGGGGTCCCACGAAATTTTTTGACATCCCTAGTTGGAGGAGTAAAGACAAAGTTTCGTCCAACTAATATAAAATAGATCATACAAGTAAAATAAAATAAAAAAATCAACGACAAAAAAGTTTGGAACTTTTAAAAGTATTTCGTTCCAAGTATATACCCAAACCTATCCAACGTATGAAATTGTTTCTTATAGAGGGTATAATAATCTATAGTATTTTTATAATAATATTAAATGTGTCAATACCTTGTGAAATTCCATAAAGAAAGCTAACAAGATATATAGCCCGGGCAAGCTATGTATATATTTTTGATGAATTATGATTTAGATTAGCAAAAATTAATAGTATATTGATAATTACGTAATTTATATTATATATATAAGCTTAGCAATTCAGACAGACGTGTTAAGGGAAAAAACTAAGAATTATTGGGGAGATAAGACTTAAGACTTGAGAGGGCGCCTACCAAATCCCAGTAGCTACGCCTACGTATAATATGATATTAAAAGTTAAAATATGCACAAATGACCGACCAGACGTAACATGCCATTGAATTATTAAATAAATAAACAAATAAAAAGCCATGCTACGTTTCATGGTTTAATTATATATGTAGCAGTCACCTCCATGCCATTAAATCCTTACTATACTATTCTATTCTTTTTTGTCTTCAACTTGATGGCAACTACATGCTTGGAATTGGCATAATAAATTAATCATACATATGATCCTAATACGGATTTTAGTTGACAAATTATGTTTTCGTTAAGAGATATCTTAAAAATATGAATACTGCATAAACATACGTCACCAGGAGTGAGTTGTTCATGACATGACATTAGTAGTTAACATTTGTAAATTCAATTTACACAAACAAAGAAAACCAACTACTATTTTACAAACCCAAAAAAAAATAATAATAATAATAATATAATAATAATAATACACGCCTTGAGTTTAATTTTTTGTGACAGAGAGACAGAGTCTGTCTATGAAGTGCTCAAAAAATTAACTGCAGCCTCTTTATCGTTGTCATGGGTGAACAATGCTTCTGCGACACTATTAGCTTCAAACCCCATTTCTCTCAACACACAGTACCCATTCACAAATTCCCTGACCTGTAAAAATTAAAAAGTAAAAAAAAAAAAAAAAAAAATTCTAAAGACAAATAGTAGCAGTTAGTTTACCTTGGTTGGATTATCTCCATATTTGGCAACTGCAATAGGTACTGCTTCTCTGTTAAGACCTGTCGCCAAGTATTTCCCCACCACCGGGTCTACACTACCACTAGAGTTCTGCATCCATAAGCCCACAAATCAAAATAGACCCCTTATTTATGCCAATAATTATAACTATTCCAGAAAAATGAGAGCCCACTTGGTAAAAAGGAAGAATAGCAAAAATGTAAAAGCTATCACTTTAGATTAAGTTTTGTTCTTATTAAGTCAAAAAGAAGAGGGCATACCGCACGAGATATTGGTTTTGCAGTCTTATGGGGAAGGTTCTCCAGCCCGAGCTTGCTCCAATTTGGGTTTTCTTTCTCTGCTTCTGCAAGTATCTTCCTTTCCAGTTCAAAGTCAAACTGAAATGTGCTTCGAGGAATCTCTCCAATGTGTGGAGACAATTGAGGCTACAATTTTTACAAGTATTTTCATTAAGGACCACAACATCTTGCAATTTAAAAGGAAACCCAAAATACAATACAAGAGGCTCCGCTCATCAACTACAACGCTTTACATCACATATAGAGATATAGTGTACACAATTTAATCTATAGTCTACATAACCATTTAATAAATACCTTCTCTATCCTCTTTCCATCAGTAAGATATCAAAAATCTGATCATTTGATTTTATAAGCCATTATCAAATTCTAAATCGAGGTTTAGGATCATCAGGCAAGTTAAAGTAAACGGAGTATAGATATCTGCTTTGGTATTATGTACATAAACTGATGCAAGAAAAGCATTTCAATAAACAAACAGAACAGAACAAGTTTGTACTAATATCCCAAATACCCAAAGAAAGGCCAAAATATGCATGTATCTTCGAATGAAATTGATAACAGTAGGCTAAGAATTCAGTGCTCATGGACATGTCGATTGATAAAAAAAAAAAACAATATCGATAGTCATCAGACATTGATCATTAAAAAAGAAACAGCAAAGAGTTTGAATCAAGTACAGAAAGGATACCGGTGGTGTAATCCGAAACTCCGGTTTTAAAGTAACCCTAATCCCCATTCCTGCTAAAAAGATATCGAAATAGATTAATCAGTAAGCAAACCTTCAACTAATAGCAATTTCCATATACAGATCATAATCGAAAATGAAACAAGGTTCCAAATAATATTCAAAAACATATTATTCTTCTTATCTAAATGAGCTTAGTAACGACTAAGAAAATCAATAAACAGATACCTAAAATCATTCTAATATAGTCTACAACTTACAGGAAGAGGAGTTGGTGTTATTGCGAGCAGGCGCATGAACAACAGAGTGACCACCGGACTGACTAATCTTAGGGTAGAGCGACGACGGTCCGTACATCGGATGACTCGATGGCGGCATCGGCGACCCCGAAGATGACGGCGTTGGCCTGTTGTACACAGAAGATTGAGAATTATAGGGTGGATTCAACCTGTTTCTGAAATCGTAATCCATTGGATGGAGAAATTCGATAGAATTGAGGCTTGAGGATCGGGAAACAAGAGTTTTCTATGGGAGAAAACATGGACATCAGACGGGTAAAAGAAACGCGGTTGCCGTTGACCCGCCGGTATCCGTGGATACTTCGGTTCGGCCCAATTGATTGAGGATATCAATTCATCCGTTACTACTCCATAGTGTTAATAACAAGATAAATATAAATTATACAGTAAAAAAGCATGAAAGTAAGATAATTTTTATTTTCAGTACTTTTAATGAAATTTTTAACTATGACTATTATGATTATATGGCATTAGAATGGATTAATTAGAATGGATTAGAAGAGTTAGACATGATAGGTGATTTTTCATCAATACTTTATTTTTTTGTTCAGCTATAAAGAAAAAAAAAACATTAGATTAGTTAAAAACATTTTTTTAAATCTTTCTTTCGATATTGTTGTTGCAAGAACATGTTAATGGCATGAAAAGTAGAAAAAAAAAATCTTTAGCATGGTTTTTCATAGTGAAAATACTAATAAATAAAGACTTGTATGTTAATGAGTTTTTAGTTAATAAATTTCATAAAATAAGCTGTAAGCATTATATATAATAAACTTATATTTAAAAAATATATATACATAAAAAATGACAAGAGTAATAAGGTATTAGAGCTCTATGGTAGAGTCTTGTTGATAAGATATTATAAAATATGAAGCTAAATTAAAGAACAATATAAGACATGAGATTGTAAAGAACTTTATTCCATGATTCAGCATTTGTGGTAAAAACAATCAAAATTTACAATACATAATACTCACTATTTATACTAGACAAAAAAAATAAAAGATAATGTATGTTATGATTATTATTTAATAAATGACTATCGGGTTCCCTATATTTCCCCATCGCTATCCGTATTTAATAAGCATTATAACAAATATTATTATGAGTTTTATAATTTACGTTATGCACAATGTTTTAAAACCCGGGTTGACCCGGCCGGTTCAACCGGTTGGACCATGACCCAGGGTAGAAGGCGGGTCAATTGAGAACGGTTTTTTGTAAAAATACAGACCGGATCGAACAAGCCGAGTTTCCCCTAAACCGTAGTTCGACCACTTATGTTGAACCAGTTAAAACCGGATTGACCCATTGTAATAAGGCTTAGATAGTTTGATACAAGTAGCGAACGCCAAAACGAGTCGTTTATGGTTTCTTCAATGTTTTTCAATGTTCAAACTTTGTGGACATCAAATGATTGGGTTTAT